ATAAATATATAATTATATATATTTATTTCAAAAGGGGGAGCATTTTAGCAGAAAGTAAATGCCAGCATTCTTCCCTTTCAAAGAATCACTTCAGAGTTCTGTGAAGTTTGCTTTCCATACCAACACCACTTGAAGAAAGGCAGCCTCGCAGGACAGTCCTTTTAGTTAGGTGTAAGACTAGCCCATGGTAAAACTTTTTGTACATCAAGCTAACTTCAGCCCCTCATTGTTACTTACTCTCACTGCAAACCACTTGCAGGAATCACTCGTGGGGAACTCTTGCAGACCACATGTCCCTGGGCAAAACCATCTTAGGCATCCTCTTTCCCGTCACTCCACACTGAGCTCAGAGTAGCAATGCTGTAGTTTTCACCACTGCTATGTACTAAAACTAATTTCGTTGCATGATGCATAAGGCAATGCTGCTCCAGCCTGAACGAGCTGAATTCACCCTGAAACACCTCGTTTTTCATGCAGCTGATCTGAAAGGCAGAGCTAAGCACAGTAATTTCACTTGACATCTACCAACCACCATAACTAAGCAGCTGTTTCCTGCAGAACTTGCAATGCCTTAGCCTTAGAACGTCCGCAACTCAGAACAAAATTAACACATCGCTTTGCCCATGGGAACACAGAAGCCAGTACAATGCTTAATCCAACCCTTTATTACTATTATACAAAATGCTGTTCCCAGATATTAAAGCAATTAAGTCCAGAAGCCAGATGAATGTTATTTTTCGTACTCAGAATATCCAACTTTAAGTTCTTGACCTTCCATTCCAAGTTTTCCTGTTCTTAAACAGATTTCAAAATCAATATAGTCTGACTTGCAGCACCATTTTTGATACTCAAGTTATGAAAATTTAAGTTCCAAAAGTCTAAAGATACAGACTTGCTTTTTGGCATTGTTATTACAAGACAGTTCTTTATTTTAAACATTAAAGTGCCAGGTTTATGTACAAACTATTAAAACAATAGTAAAAAAGGTAAACTTAAAACCTGCTAGGAAAGCAGTGAGGTCATGTAGTTGCCTCCAGAGTTTTCCACTAAGCATTCAGCAAGTTTAAAATCAAAATTTCTTAGTTGCTTCTTTGTTTATGGGCAGAATAGCAGAAGCTAGTGGTCACTGCCCGTAACCTCCCATCTCGTAGAAGGAAGGTGCCCATAAATTTCACAAAATCCAGTAGCACATGTTGTAAGAGATACATCTAAACATTCTATGAATTAACACCATTGGCAAAGTCTAATAAAAAGAGATTTTACTGCTGGAGCTACACTAGCCTCCTGAAAAGCACCAATATCACCACACTTTTCAAGAGTGGGATTTTAGTACAAGAATCAAGTCACACTGTGACTCAATATATTTAAACTTTCCCTGTAAACAAGGGAGCATACACACTAAGATGGTCCAAGTTCATTTAAAATTCCGCATCCAGGGTGAAAGAGTTGTCTGTGGGCTTCGACATCACTCCCATCCTCTGATATTCACCTACTCGCTTCTCAAAGAAATTGGTCTTGCCTTCCAGAGAGATATTTTCCATGAAGTCAAAAGGATTCTCCGCTTTGTATATCTGAAATGCAAAGGCAATTAATTCTATAGTCAGTGCACATCCTCGCTTTTTGAATACACGAGAGCATTAGAGAGCAGCTGGAAGGAGTCTGATGGCAGCACAGCGGGCTCACAGCATAGTGAACCAGTGTCTGCCCCAAGCCTTCTCTGCTGTTCTTGTTCCCATCTCTTAGCTGCAGTACACAGAAGCACAGCAACTCCTATAGAGCTGTTTTTCTACGGCATCCTTTCTCTTTTCCTTCTGTGGGTCTCTAAACAGGATCCAGCAGTAGGACTGCCAAATGGTTTTACAAGTTATATCAATATTGCTGCAGTCGTTCTAGGGTTTGGGTTTCTGGAGGAAATTAAACTTAATATTATTTTTTCCCATGAAAGATTCAGTATATTAGAGCCTTACCTTGTTAAATCCCAGTTCCAACATAAGCCGGTCTGCTACAAACTCTATGTATTGTTTCATTAAAGTGCAGTTCATGCCTATCAGCTTTACGGGCAGTGCCTCCGTCAAGAATTCCTGCAAATAATAAAAGCATTTTATGTCTAGAAACTGGTATTCACTCTGGGCAGACTAAGTTAATTTTATACCAAACAGCTCCCCAGCCTTCTGCTCAATTGCAAGCAAGTTCCTAAACACGGAGCAGACAATTACCTGTTCTATGACAACAGCATTCACGATGATTTCCTTTACTCTCTCCTCTGAAGGTTTGCGTACCAAGTGCTTGAACATGAGGCAGGCAAAATCACAGTGCAAGCCCTGGAAAGAAGTTTCAGAAGATTATTTCAGGAACATTGATTTGAAAGAGCCACTTGAAAAAGAAGCCCCATCCCTGGAAATATATAATGTCAGATTGGATGAGGCTCTGAGCAACCTGATCTAGGTGAAGATGTCTCTGCTCACTGCAGGGGGCTGGAGTAGATGACCTTTAGAGGTCCTTTCCATCCCAAAGCATTCCATGAACCTAGGAAATCAGTAGCACAGAATAGCCCAACACTCGGGCACCATCTTTGCACTTGCCACAGTATTTAGCATTACCTACAGAAACCTTTCTGCCTGACCAGAGGGTGGCATAAGCCAGTACCAGCTGCACTTGCTCTAAATGACAAGGAATACTGAGAGCAAGAACTGGTAAGAAGCCTTAAACTAATTTAAAGGAAGTAAAACACTAAGTTCCTTCAATCTTCACTGCAGGATCCGAGATGACATATTTACACACTTTAATAAACTCTACAGACTGCCTATTTCTAGACATACTTGTTTTAAAATCCAAAATTCAAAATCCAAATTCAGCTCAATTGAGTATCATTACTTTTAGCTACTGTGGTACATTACCATCCTAACCACCAGATTTCCATTCATACCTCGTCTCTGCTGATGAGTTCATTAGAAAAAGTGAGTCCCGGCATTAGCCCTCTTTTCTTCAACCAGAAAATGGATGCAAAAGAGCCAGAAAAGAAGATTCCTTCTACTGCTGCAAAAGCTACTACACGTTCTCCTGTTAAGAAGAGAGATGGATAGTAATGTCACACAGAAAACTTAACAAGACTAATACCCAGAAGTTACAAACAGACAAGTGAACTGCATCCTCCTAGGAGAATGAAGAAGTTTCTGCTCAAGTGTGCCATATCCTGCCTTTAAAATATATTACACTAAAGACTTCTGCTCATTACACAAAGCTTCTAAACGCAAGAGGAAATAAAAACTAATTAGAGTAGCTAAGTAGCTCCTTTCTCCAGGTTAACCATCAACATGAACCTTTTTCAAAGATTTTACCCTGAAAGTCAGCAGTGATTTTGGCAGTTGATTTAAACCAGTACCTGCTCATCTTTAAGTAAGGAACTTTGGCCATGAGGAATGCTTTAATACTAGTGAAATAACAATGACCTCTTCCAGCTCATCTGACTTCTGAAGCGAGACATCAAGAATCAGTCAGAAAGGCCGAGGAGCTACAGCCCCAGCTGTGTGTCTGCTAGTGGTAAACGGCCAAGTACAGTTCTGGATACATGACAGCCGTTTCCAATTTGATCCCATAGCCAGGCCTGTGAAGATTGCCACAGGAGCTAGCATTATTCAAATTGCCAGCAATTTTACAGAGATTCACGTCAATAGCTCGTTTCCATGATGAAAATTCTCATCTCCAGAACTATACTGGTACCTTACACAGGAGAGCGTGTACTCTGCTTGTTACAACAATAATCCTTGCAAACTGTGAAGCCTACAGAAATGGTGGTTCCTCCATCTTTCTCAAGGAAGGAATTTCACTTTGCTTCCAATAGCCATACTCACCATATGTTGCTTTCTTGTCCCCAATCCAGCGCAAGGCCCAGTCGGCCTTCTTTTTAACACAAGGTAGCGTTTCAATTGCATTAAAAAGGAATTCCCTGAGAAGGATGAAATTCGTTAGGATCAGACATCAGCACAACTAGTACAATAATCATCCTCTGCCATAAATGGTCTTTTTCACTTACAAGTGCCCTGGCACGTTCACCTTGATAAAGTCTCTTTCCTCATCTTATCCTGCATTAATCTGGCTCTGTTTGCACCCATTAACTACATTTTCATCACCATCATTTCACAAGTCCCCAAGACAACACCAAGGGGGGTATTGCTTCATCAAGTGCCATACTTGAATGAGGCTTTTAAAATTACAGATCATCCAGCCTTCACTTTTCAGCGGCAGGTCACTAGAGCTCTCAGGTAAGTTCTTCCTTAAATATATACTAGAATTAAGCATCTTGAGTACAAATTACATGGTTGGCTTTCTACAGAGCAGCAACAGTTAAATGTATCTAGATTGCAAACAGCATTACAATATCATGACATTTCACTCAACAGGGCTTGGGACTGAAGTAACAACACCAGAGTAGCTCAGTCCTGAGTGCTCAAAGTCCTACATCGAACTTTAAGATACCATTCTTTAATTGATTCATCTTGTTATGAAAGCTTTACATTCAGCTTTAATTTTTTAATCAAGACTTAAAGCCACTTTTTGGCAAATGTGTCATGCTTACCCACCCCAAGCACAATAGTCAAGAGATTAAGGGCAGCAACACACTATGTAAAAATGCCTCCGTTAACTAAATGAAGAAGTTTATGTTTTAAACTCTCCTGCACAGATTTCTGCTAGGTGCAGGGGTCCTCTATATAAGCACTTACTGTAATCGAATATATTCCTCTTATTTGACCCTAGTATTAAGTGGTTTCAGTTTCACTCCTTAAGCAAATTCTTGATCATACAGTTCAGAGGAAAGAGAAATTCTGAAGTAAAGCTGCTCTTAAACAGCAGTGGTATTTTATATTAATCTGGCTGATATCCTAAAATTAGCCTTGAAGTCAGAGACTGATTGATATGCATCATTTAGATACGAACAGTTAAAGTGTTTTGAACTTTTTGTCATCAATCAATACAAACCTCTCTTTAGAATCTTTAATGTAGGTGTCAATAAGAAGACTGTACATTTCTGAATGTATATTTTCCATGGCAATCTGGAAGCCATAGAAACAACGAGCTTCTGTGATTTGTACTTCTTGACTGAACCGCTCCACCTAGAGGAAATAAATGTGTGTTTGCAAAAGCATTTGATAGCTCAATCGCAAGTTACAGGCAGTGATGCCATCTATAACAGCTCTTGCTCAGCCCACAGAATCCTCTCCAGATTAATTCCTGACAACAAAATGAATAGCAATAGCCCCTTCACACCTCCAAGCCATGAAATTATTCTTCTGTCCCAAAAGAAATGGAGAAACTACTTAGTTTTATCTATCCACCGTCAGAGAGAAGAGCACAGGAAAGGCAGAAGCAGAGCAAGGGCTCTGAACCAGCCAAATGTTACTGTAAGGAAACACTCTGTGCCCCGTGGGGAGCGGGTAAAGCTTTTGGGTTACAAAAGCAAGCCCCATTTGCTAATTGGCAAATTACATGTTGCAACGCTGTAATACTACATGACTTAGCAAACAAGCCAGATCAGCCAGGAAGCATGTCAAACGTGTGGTTATCTGGTTATCTTCACAGAGTGATGTTTCTATCGGGCCTGTTTCTCCACGCGTACCAAGTTTTCATTGACGATGCCATCACTGGCAGCAAAGAAGGCGAGGACATGAGATATGAAGTACTTCTCCTCTGGCTTCAGGGACTCCCAGTGCTGAATGTCTTTGGAAAGGTCCACCTAGAACACACCAAAAAGAAGGGATAATAAATGCATAATAATAATGGATAAAACCGGACAATATTAAATGGCAATAAAGGGGGAGCCGGGCGCTTCAGGGACCGCGGCACGTACAGGCACAGCCTAGGGCTGCTGCCCCCCCTCACCTCCTCTGCCGTCCAGAAGGAAGCCTCGGCCTTCTTGTACATCTGCCAGATGTCGTGATACTGGATGGGGAAAATCACGAAC